GCAGTGATATCCTAATTCTAAAGTTTACTGTTATTTTCCTATGATACAAATGAACAGACTACATGTCCTAGAAATACATCGGGATCAATTTAATCAAGAAATGCTTGCTGACAACACTGCACTTTTCGGAAAAGTCCTATCACAGCACTTATCTCTCTTAGGGGAAGATGAAATCTTAAATAAAATTGGTTCTTTGAACAACCCTGACGTGGTTAAGCTTTTCTGCTCAGATGACACCCATCTTGTAATATCAACAGGTAAAATAAGCATTTGAATATTTTCACTCCTGAACATTTTCTTTCAGCCAATAATCATAAAACAAACCCAATTCATGTTGCCTAAATGAAAGTGATCTAGATATGGGAGCTCTTTTAAAAATACTGAAGAAGAAAAAAACAAATACAGGCTTTTTCCTTCTTTTTAGGAGACCCTTGAGTAAATGGAAGAACAGTAATTCTAAACAGACTCGGTTTCTCGTGCTATAAAATTGGTGTACGTATATTTGTTATGTTGCATGTCAAAGCTTACATCTCAGACATCGATGCAAGAATTTGTATAAGTGAAAAAGAAAGACAAATCTGTTAAGGTTACAATCCACAAACCCAAAATCTTTAGAGGTATCTTAGTTGACTGGCTTTCAAAATCCATGCTTTAAATACTGGCTGTGAGGAACTCGAAACTTGCAGGTACTTGAGCTACATATCCCGAAAGGCTACATCTAAATTCATGTGAGACAGGAGAAGGTAATTTGAGGAAGAATTACATCCTTTATTATTTCTATTTTTAAAAATTCACTGTTAACTGCTCAGGATCCACAATACAAGGAAATGAAGAATTGGGCTCTTATTTTTTTTTCCCCTTTACTTAGTGGTCTAACTATTCCATCAATCACACTGATCCTAAATTGAAAAAACAAACATACAAATATTCAGTCACCCCCTATCCTGTTCTACTGAAAATAAGTGACACAAATCCGGCGAGAAACTTGAGGGCTCTATGTGGAAGGAATCCTACAGTATAATTTGGAGAAAGAAATGTTTTTATAAGACCATCTGTATTCATCCATGTCATTGCCCAAAGATAGTTTAGTGAGGGGAGGGTAGGAAAATAAAGAGTTTTGTGAAGCAAATCAAGGATGGATGGTAATCCTAACAGCCAGAAACAGAATGACACTCTGCACATTTAACATATCCAGTTCAAGCATTTACAAAGAAGTTTCCACATGGAAAATGGAAGCTTATTTTTACAGATTCAGAAAAACTGGGTTCCCAATTCAGACTACCCTATGTGACTTTTGTCATTATCATCTTTTCTGATTCTTACAAAGTAAACCTAATTAAGAACCTCCCTCATTAGTCTTCCAGAAAAATTAGCACAGCTTATGCTAATTACTCCTGCAAAATTTAATAAACTCGTTGAAATGGGAATAGTCTAATGAGGTTTTATTTATTGAACTTAGGTAACTCCAAGGAAAAAGGTTAAGACACAAGGATATCCAATGTGGTAATAAAACTACAATTTATTCAATTTCTAAACACGAATTTTATTGCAAACCTTTTAAATTCAAATATGAGTTACTGTGTGAATACGTTAAATCAATCTCCACCATAATTCAATAACTGCAAGTCATTTTTTTTTTGCTTTGTACTTTAACAATAATTACTACACATAGCCCTTTACCTCGACAATAATGAAATTTGCTGTTATTAGTTCCTGGTCATCAGCTATTAAACGTAATACATTTGACTTTTCCCATGTCTACACAGCCCAAATATCTGGATCATCAGGCACAGCCTAGGTTGTATAATTCTTAATCAAGCCATTTGGCACCGGGCAGAAATATAACCTGGCAGTTAACTCCAGATGCACACTTCCTCCAGTTGCAGGAATTTTCCAGCAAACTTTTTGGACGTGACTGGACAAATTGTCACAATTGTAAAAAGAGTCTTTTTTCTTACTTTGTTGCATGCTATTAAGAAGGGATGAAGTAGAAACCCATTTTCTAAATCAGTGTGCTACTGCTGATGTTGTTCATTTCCCTTTTTGGATAGACTATGCCAAGCTGATGTCCCCAAATCACTGGCGGCAAATAACACAGCCAAAATTCAACACAGAAATAGCTTACCCTGCACCAGTGCCGTATGACCAGAAAGCCTCTTCTATCTATACTATAAATAGTTTTCCTGAATAACCACTGCTAAAAGTCTTTTTTTTTTTTTAGCTGTGTTCTTCCAAAATCCGAAGGACAAGCAAAGAGAGCTAAAAATTATTGGTGCCCAAAAGGTAACTGCATGTTAAAATCATGCTAGATCCTAACATAACCATTGCCTAGACCCTCAGCTCTGTAATTACATATTGTATGCGTCTTGTAAAAACAGTTACTACCGCTACTGAATGCAGGTCCCGTAACCTATTTTTACAAAATATGCAGGGATTCACATCCATAAATCTGAACACAAATCAAACCCTAAGCATGTAACACAGATATTATGCAATCAGTAATAGAGAAGCAAATTGGAAACTATGAAATTCAAACACGGTTGCCTTCATTTTTTTTTTTTTCCTTTGCAGCAATTTTATGGAATTGAAAAAATCTTCTCTATTTTGCCCTTTCTTGTGTACGCTCTTTTCTTGTTACTCTCTGCTCTTGTCGTTAAAAATGCAAGTTTCACGTATCAGCACAGACAAGGCTGGAGCTTTTCAAACCTTTGGCAGACTGAAGGACAAATAAATTCTGGAAACTCGGATGCAAATAAGAACAGCTAAATGGGGTTTTGCATATCAGCTGGCATCACTGCTTAAAAAGACAGTTCACGGGAGACAGTGGCAACAGCCAGCAAATAAACATAGGCTGGGCCTTGTGCAGACGCACTGGGTTTCAGCTGTTTTTAAAACTCTCCTCTCTTAAGAGACCAGCGTTGGCTACACACTGTTTTCTACTTTGTTCAACCAAAAAGGAGAGAGAAAAAAAATGCAAAGGATAAATGTCATGAGCAATATCTCTAAAGCCACCAACAGTATAAAGTGCGTACTTACTTTGCCTAAATTGTTTGAACTACCCCAGCCAAGAAAAGGTTTTAAGTACCCTACTGGGACAGATGCAAAGCGGCAACAATAGAAGCCACACTAATGCAATCCAGGTAACACAATCCTGTTTCAAAAACACGGGCCGGGCTAATTACAGCGCTGCTGAGTCAAGTTTCTTCTGCCATCGCAACCCACAGGAACAGGTCAAAATCAAATGTTATTCAAACCACAGTCATATCAAACTTCTGTATCAGAGTCACGGCTTAAAACCAAACGAAGAACTTAAAAGCTTAACCCATTCACAAGCAAAAAAAAAAAAAGTGTTTTCATTGAGGGTGGCAAGGTAAGGTTCTTGTCATAGTCTAAACCAAAAGGAACTGGGTAGGAGAACAAAATGCTCACAGTCTCAAAGTTTCAGGGACTATTTGGGTTGGTCCTTTGATCAGAACACTTTCTTTATAATGGATGAGTAAGAAAAACTTGCTTAAAATAACAAGTGGTGTTTTGAAGAGGTGTATTTAAATGAAACAAAGAGAATAAAGGTTACACTTATTTTATCTTATTTGAAGATTTACCTTCCATTGCAGAAAAAAAATACACGCACGTGCGCGCACACACACACACACACACACGTGTGTGTGAATGGCAGGCCTGCTCTCGCAGATACACATGCTATTCTAATTCTGTAGGCAGCACAAAACCTCGCTACACCTCAAACATGTACCTGTGTTAACTCTGAATCAAGTATATTAATATTTATCTGTTGGGCAAAAGTGTGTGTTGTGAATGAATATTAGTGAGAGATATTTAATTAAAATATCTGATTGAAACATGATCTTTATAAAGCTGCTTATCCATCAAAATTGGACTTAAGCCTGAAGACCTACGAGTCAAAATCAACAACTAGTGTTTCATCATAAATTGTGATGAAGAAACACTTTTCAGCTTTACTGAAAAATGATACAGCGAGTCCTTAAAAGGTAAAGAATTGGGAAGACAGATAAGTGGGGAGGGGGTGTCAAAAATCAGTACTACCAGACCCCAAAAGGGACTTCTGTTCAGCTATAGGTTTCTTCACTGAGGACTCAGTCCGTCTTACTTGCAGGACTCCTTTCCGGCTACTGGAGGGTGCTAGCTCTTTTCCTAGCTGACAACCGACAGTATCTATAAACCTTCCAGACCATTTAACTCTCAATGAGTAGTGCTGTGTAACAAATGGTTTATCATACATGTTTCCATACAATGAATTTCAATAATTAAAATGTAAAATGAATATTTGGAATGCGACTTAGCATAATATGTGCACATACTGACTTGAAATTGCACTGAACAACTAAAGCAGATTTATCGTTCCATAGTGATTTACTCGGTCATGTCAGATTAGTAATATGGATCTGTTTAAAAACACGATAATTAAGACAAGCAGGATAAATTAATCAACTTACAATACAGTATGAGCTGCAATCAAACCCAGGAAATAACAGTAGGAAAATCTTGGTTCACAGATCTCTTTAAAACTGCTTTTATGCATAAATAAAACCTTAAAATGTAGATGGATTGCATCCAACAGAACTACTGTAGCTAAAAGTGATAATGATTCCAACATTTTTCAAATAAAAGTTAAATATTTATAAGCACCCAACCGCATTTCATAAATCACAAACTATTATTATTTTATTTCTGAAGCTTCCTGGCACAGCATGAGGACTGAGCCACAGAAAGTCAGGAAAGAAAAAAATATCCTTTTAGGAGCATGAATCAGACACGAAACCGGAGCAATCCAAGAAAACAGGCCTCCAAAGAACATTCCATATGGCTTTCCCAGGAATCGCACTAGCTCGGCGCAGATCAAGTCATGACCGACAGGCGACTTTCGGCCACATGCATTCCTAACCCTCACCCGTGAGCGACACGAGGCAGGTGTTTCGTTATAATAGGGAGTAAGAACCCAGTGAAAGTAGAGTGGTCCCTACCTGTCAATTATCACTGGATCTGAGGGAGTCTCATTTCGGTTGCCACAGCTTTTCTTGTCACAACAGCGGCTATGGAGCAAAAAGCGAGAGGATTTAGTACAGCCATTACAACGTGAAATCATCATTGAGGCAGACAGAGGTTCAAATTGCTGGGTTGCAAATGCTAGAATTACCACAGAGCCATACCTGGCAATCAACGAATCCCTGGGACAGAAAATTCTATTTGGGTCACCTATGGGTTAACGGCCAGGCTTAACCTCTCCCTGGAAAAGCAAAAGGGACCATCCGGGAGCCAGGGCTGGCAGCCCTAAGAGGGGGTCTCCCATCGCTGCCCGAGGTGCTGGAGGGTTCCCTGTGAAAGGCATGACTGTCGCATCTACCCAATGAGAACATTCGGGGTTGTGGGTGGCTCAACCGTTCTTTCCTCAGGATCCCACTAATTGTGCGGAAGGCGTCAATAATGAGGTCTGAGTGATTTCTCCCCCTCCAGTCATTTTGTGTTAAGTGGATTCCTTTTCCTTCCCTTTCTTTTTTACGGGAGGCATCTTCTGTTGCCAACCACAGGCCTGCCAAAGCCCTAGAGCTGTAAGTGTTTGCTTTAGAACCATCTTCGTGAGGATAAAAGTGCAACGCAACAATTAAGGCAAACGAGAAACGAGATAAAAGGAAGTGGGGATCAGCATGTCCTCTGGCTTCTGTGCCCCACGCTGGCCGCCACCAGTTTTCTGCAAGCACCGGGGACAGTCGATCGAAAGGCTAGCACGGCCCTGGCAGTGGGCTCTCTTTATTAGGTCAGAAAAAGCAGCCATGGGCAAGAAAAGCACCCACTATCCAAATCCCGCCCCAGCTGTGACCTTAAGACTGTCAGTGTTTTGGGGTTTTTTTATACTAAGATGCTTCCAAAGGGTAAAAAATTATGACTTTTGAAAATTACCTGTGATCAATGGAAACCTATCCATCTGAGACTTGTTTGCAAACAAAACGTGTCCACTGGGAAGTCTACACCCAGGGGCACACTATGAAAGCAACTATTTGATCAGTCAAGGAGGTAAGGAAGTTAATCAAGGGTTATACGTTACCATGACCACAAATAATATGCATTTTTCTTCCTCTTTCTTACACAGGCACACACACACATTCGACTTAGTGAATCACAGAGCCTAAATTTAGAGCTGCTAGAGAGAACCAAACACTGAACTTCACTTTCAGGACCCAGAAATATACTTCTGCATCGGGAGACGTTCACCAAAGCCGGGAAGTCTGTTTCCCGGCTGTAACTATATCCCTGAGAAGAGAATCAGCTTCCAAATTTGGTGCTAATTCTGCTTGTCTTTCCTATGTTCAGAAAGCAATAGCAAGAAGTGTATCTCCACTGTCAAAGCCCCAGCTAAAAACCACGCCACCACCTATAGTCCTTGCCTTTCTGATTCTGAGGGAACTGTTTCCTCCAGGCCTGAGTTCTGCTAAACCAGAACTCTGGGGATAGAAAGCCCTTTAAAAGGGTCCAAATGCCTAAGAGACACATGAAGGAATAAGGAATGAGAAGTACTGTGGTTGGGATGAATGCAAAAAAAATAGGTTAAAAACTCAGCGCTGTCATCCCTGAACGCTGATCCTCTAAGCTCACACTTCAGGGGCAGAAGAGCACAGTGGTTAAGAACATGGCTCTGGAATCAGACAGAACTACCTGTGTCACCTTCGGCAAGGCACTCCCCCTCAGAGTCTTAGTCCCCTCATTTGTAAAATGGAGCAATTGTTGTACCGAACTCTAAGTGGGGAGGCGCAGATTCAATGCGATGAGGGTGTAAAGCCGGGCTCCAAGACTGGGCCTACTAAGCGCTCAGCATCACTGTCACTCCGGGCACCTGCCTCCTCCAGCCTCCTCCATCACATCTGAACAAGGCTGCCCTGTGCTCTGCCAAGGCGGCAAGTCTCCAAAAGCAGCCCATCCACAGAGCCCCTTTACCCAGGGAGAAAACCAATGAGTAGGATGGCTTATTTCTCTTTTCTGTTTTCCATTTCTTTCTTTCCTTTTCAAAACAGTGAGCGGGCAATGGAAGTCCCCAGGGGCCACACCCTCACCAAGGTCCTGCCCAGACTAAACGCCCCCCAGGGGACTCCTCCAATTTGCAAGATGATAATTGTGGAGTAGAATCTACACCTCAAGCTTATCTGATTCTCTCCCTCCCCACTGCCACCGCCCTGGTCCACGTCATTTTCATTTGTCCTTGGACTCCTCCAGTGGCCTCCCACCTGGTCTCGCTGCCTCCACTCTTCACTCCCTGCAACAGCCTGAGGATCTTTTCAAAACCTCAACAGGACTGTGTCACTTCACTGCCCAAGACCTTTTCGCGCCTTCCACAGCAGTTAGAATAAATCTACGGCATGACATGATACCAGGCCACCTCCCAATCTCCTGTCACTCTCTTCTGACTTGCCAACCTGCAGCCTCGATGGCCAATTTCAATCTCTCTGATGTGGCCCGTTCAGTCTGACCCCAGGCCCAGGCCAGGGCAGGCCTCCCACCTGCCTGCTGCTCCTTCCACCCTCCCTGCTCTTTCCTCTGAGAGGTTGGCCCTGACACCCGCCCTCAATCGAAGTTAGGTTTCTCCCGGTTTTTCCTCTCATGGCACTTAACACAATGTAAATTACATTTTTACATATATACATGATGTCCCCAAAAATGCATACCCACACTTTGAATAATTATAAAGGCCGTGTTTATTAAAACACATTTCATTTTCAAAATTGAGCTATCAGCTGTTAAAGTGTGTATACATTTTGGGTGGACACCCTGCATTTGTGTGTGTTTTTGTTACCATCTTTCTCCACACACACACGCCCCCCTCATTAACCCATATCCTTCACTAAGGAAGAAAATGTTGGTTGTATTTACCTACGGAGCAGCATAAGGCCTAGCATAGAACTTAGAAGCTCAAATATTGGGTTGGCTGATTGATTAACTTCATGATTGAATATAATGTATTGGGGGAATGCAATCCAAGAAAACAGAAAGGTGACAGATAAAGAAAGCCAAGCGGACCCTCAGGGCAGGCACTGCTGATGGAAGGAAGGGTCACCCCACCCCATACACCAAACCACCGCCCCCAGGCGAGTGCCGCACTAGGCCAGAGATTTGTCCTTTGACTTAAGCACTGTCCCTATCTCCTTAAAATGAGAATGCCTTTGAGAGAAGCCAGAGGAGCTGAAGCATAAATGAGAACCACCCTCTGTGCTGTGGCCCAAGGGACCCAGGGGAACAGGTCCATTTGGAGGAGAGAGGTGTAGAAGGAAGGACAGGAAGGGACTAAAATGGGTGGGGGGGGGGAAGAGAAACCAGAACCAGGGGGCTGCTGGAGGTCACCTAACAGTTATAGAAACTTTAGGCAAGGGATGAAAAACAGCCCAACAGGTTCCTGTCTCCCCGGCCATGTCACTGTGTCACACAGTTTTCCCAAAATGAGATGCGTGGGCCCTGCTCTGCACCTGGGGTGGCGACAAAATAGTGTCTATGGTATGAGCCCACTTTAAATATATATGTGCATGTGTATGTGTGTGCACACATATATGTGTGTACATATATTATATACAGGTACATGTGTATATGGAATTCTGTGCAGCAAAAAAGAATGAAGGTGGGTTTTTACACAAGATCATGAAAAGAAGTCTACATTATATTGTGAATTGAGAAAAACCAAGTTGCAAAATAGTATGTATGGTATGGTCCTATTTCTGGGAGAAAAATGTGAGAGAGAAAGAGAGATG